CCTCACCCTCACCTCTCACCCTCCACCATCACACCATCACCCATCACACCATCACACCATCACACCATCACCCTCACCTCTCACTCTCACACCATCACACACCATCACACCATCACACCATCACACCCCACATCACCCTCACACCATCACACCATCACACCATCACACCCTCACCCTCACCTCTCACCCTCACACCATCACACCATCACACCATCACACCATCACACACCCTCACCCTCACCTCTCACTCTCACACCCTCACCTCTCACTCTCACACCATCACACCATCACACCATCACACCATCACACCATCACACCATCACACCGTCACACCATCACACCATCACACCATCACACCCTCACCCTCACCTCTCACCCTCACACCATCACACCCACCATCACACCATCACACCACACTCACACCCACACACCCTCACCCTCACCTCTCACTCTCACACCCTCACCTCTCACTCTCACACCATCACACCATCACCCTCACACCATCACACCATCACACCCTCACACCATCACACCATCACCCACACACACACCTCACCCTCACCTCTCACCCTCACACCATCACACCATCACACCATCACACCATCACACCATCACACCATCACACCCTCACCCTCACCTCTCACTCTCACACCCTCACCTCTCACTCTCACACACATCACACCATCACACCATCACACCCTCACACCATCACACCCTCACACCATCACACCATCACACCCCTCACCCTCACCTCTCACTCTCACACCCTCACCTCTCACTCTCACCCATCACACCATCACACCATCACACCCATCACACCATCACCCATCACACCATCACACCTCCACCCCCCCTCCCCCCCTCCCCCCTCCCCCCCCACTCCCACAAACATTCCCTGGACAGGCTGTTGGGGCAATTGCCACACGAGGCGGTGATGGGCCATCACCACGCCCGACCGCCTTTGTCTCCCCAGTGCTAATATTTACACACACCAGCTACTGCACTCATTCAAGGCTGAGTCGACCTAGGGGAGGTCCCGGCAGGACCGGTTCAAATATCGCCACAGTTTTGGTCGTGAGCGGGGAATCGAACTCGGGCCGCCGTTTTCGTAGCGCCAGTGCGCTAACCGCTGCGCCACCTCTCCATTGCACCACCTCGCCCCTGACGCTCGCTCACCGCCGACCCCTCACCGCCGACCCCACACCCCTCACCGCCGACCCCACACCCCTCACCGCCGACCCCACACCCCTCACCGCCGACCCCACACCCCTCACCGCCGACCCCACACCCCTCACCGAAGACCACACACCCCTCACCACCGACCCCACACCCCTCACCCGTGACCCCACTCCCCTCACCCGTGACCCCACTCCCCCTCACCCGTGACCCCACACCCCTCACCCGTGACCCCACCCCCTCACCCGTGACCCCACACCCCTCACTGCCGCTCACCGCGCTGTGGGTGATGGCGCCATGCACGGGGCGGCTCAGATCCACAGTGAACACGTGGTCCCTGTGAGGAGCAGAGACATTCGCGTGAGTGCCGGGTGACGCCTGTGTGAAGTGGGCGGTGCCTGTGTGAAGTGGGCGGTGCCTGTGTGAAGTGGGTGGTGTCTGTGTGAAGTGGATGGTGTCTGTGTGAAGTGGGCGGTGCCTGTGTGAAGTGGGCGGTGCCTGTGTGAAGTGGGTGGTGCCTGTGTGAAGTGGGCGGTGCCTGTGTGAAGTGGGTGGTGCCTGTGTGAAGTGGGCGGTGCCTGTGTGAAGTGGGCGGTGTCTGTGTGAAGTGGGTGGTGCCTGTGTGAAGTGGGCGGTGCCTGTGTGAAGTGGGCGGTGTCTGTATGAAGTGGGTGGTGCCTGTGTGAAGTGGGCGGTGCCTGTGTGAAGTGGGTGGTGCCTGTGTGAAGTGGGTGGTGCCTGTGTGAAGTGGGCGGTGTCTGTGTGAAGTGGGCGGTGCCTGTGTGAAGTGGGTGGTGCCTGTGTGAAGTGGGTGGGCCTGTGTGAAGTGGGCGGTGCCTGTGTGAAGTGGGAGGTGCTCGTGTGAAGTGGGTGGTGCCTGTGTGAAGTGGGCGGTGTCTGTGTGAATTGGGTGGTGCCTGTGTGAAGTGGGAGGTGCTCGTGTGAAGTGGGTGGTGCCTGTGTGAAGTGGGTGGTGCCTGTGTGAAATGGGAGGTGCTCGTGTGAAGTGGGTGGTGCCTGTGTGAAGTGGGTGGTGCCTGTGTGAAGTGGGTGGTGCCTGTGTGAAGTGGGTGGTGCCTGTGTGAAGTGGGTGGTGCCTGTGTGAAGTGGGTGGTGCCTGTGTGAAGTGGGCGGTGTCTGTGAAGTGGGCGGTGCCTGTGTGAAGTGGGTGGTGCCTGTGTGAAGTGGGTGGTGCCTGTGTGAAGTGGGCGGTGCCTGTGTGAAGTGGGTGGTGCCTGTGTGAAGTGGGTGGTGCCTGTGTGAAGTGGGTGGTGGTGTGAAGTGGGCGGTGCCTGTGTGAAGTGGGTGGTGCCTGTGTGAAATGGGTGGTGCCTGTGTGAAGTGGGTGGTGCCTGTGTGAAGTGGGTGGTGCCTGTGTGAAGTGGGTGGTGCATGTGTAAGTGGGCGGTGCCTGTGTGAAGTAGGTGGTGCCTGTGTGAAGTGGGTGGTGCCTGTGTGAAGTGGGTGGTGCCTGTGTGAAGTGGGCGGTGCCTGTGTGAAGTGGGTGGTGCCTGTGTGAAGTGGGTGGTGCCTGTGTGAAGTGGGTGGTGCCTGTGTGAAGTGGGCGGTGCCTGTGTGAAGTAGGTGGTGCCTGTGTGAAGTGGGTGGTGCCTGTGTGAAGTGGGTGGTGTCTGTGTGAAGTGGGTGGCGCCTGTGTGAAGTGGGTGGTGCCTGTGTGAAGTGGGCGGTGCCTGTGTGAAGTAGGTGGTGCCTGTGTGAAGTGGGTGGTGCCTGTGTGAAGTGGGTGGTGCCTGTGTGAAGTGGGCGGTGCCTGTGTGAAGTGGGTGGTGTCTGTGTGAAGTGGGTGGTGCCTGTGTGAAGTGGGTGGTGCCTGTGAAGTGAGCGGTGCCTGTGTGAGGCCATACCGCCCTGCTATGAGCAGGCGTGCTCCGATCAGGAGCAGCAGCTGGACGTTGAGGCTGCTGTTGGTGGAGTCGTCCTCTCCCAGGAACACGGGGAGACTCTCGCTGTCTGTGACACAGACAAAGATCCCCCGTGAAGCCTCCACAGACTGTTGGGGCAAGTGCAGTCAGCGAGCGCCCATGATTGGCCAAACACAACGCGAGAATCGGGGCGGTGTTGCCAGCGCCACGCCCGGCCGCCTTTGTCTCCCCAGTCGTGATGTGTACACACCACACCTTGTACTCATTAATGGCTGAGTCGCCCTAGAGGAGGGTCCAGGAACCGGTTCAAATATTCGTCACTGACGTGCGTGATCATTCTCTGCGCAGTGCGCTAACCACTGCGCCACCGCTCCCCTACCGACGCTCCTGCGTCTGCTACAAAATGCAAAGATCCCCCGTATAGCCTGCAACAGCCTGTTGGGGCAAGTGCTGTTAGCAAGCAGCGCCTATGAAGGCCGGCACGGCACACGAGGGGGTGGGTGGCCACACCACCTTTGTCTCCCCATCGGCGATGTTCACACATAGCACCGTGTAACCGATTTGAGGCCGAGTCCACCTAGGCGAGGCCCAGAACCGATTCAAAGAATCGTCACCGGTGTTGGTGAGCGGGAATCGAACTCGAGTGGCCGGGTTCGTAGCCCAGCGTGCCGACCACTGCGCCACCGCTCCCCCTGCGACGCTTTTGTGTCTGCGACACACCACACGCGCGCGCGTGCGTGCGCGCGTACCCCGGGGGTCAGCCGGGGTCAGGCTAAGTTGGGACACCACCCGCGTGCCAATTTGGGAACCGCTGACGCGACCGTTTGCGGAGCGGCACGGAGACCCGGGCGTGCTTTCAGATCCCAGCATCGCCCCTGGAAATGTGCACAATTCCATTCATGAAATAGTTGGGTCGAAACATCCCAATACAGGACCGCAGAGCGCGGGCAATTGTTAGTAGCGCGCGCCGGTTCTGGCTGCTGCCGTCCCGCCACTCATGTGTGGTTTCACTCTGTGGCTCTGTGCGAAAGCTGAGTGAGTGAGGCTCCTCGGGTGAGTGAGGCTCGGGGTGAGTGAGGGGCGGGGTGAGTGAGGGGCGGGTGAGTGAGGCTTTGGGTGAGTGGGGCTCGGGGTGAGTGAGGGGCGGGGTGAGTGAGTGTGGCTCGGGGTGAGTGAGGCTCGGGGTGAGTGAGGGCGGGGTGAGTGAGGCTCTGGGTGAGTGAGGGCGGGGTGAGTGAGGGGCGGGGTGAGTGAGGCTCTGGGTGAGTGAGGCTCGGGGTGAGTGAGGGGCGGGGTGAGTGAGGGGCGGGGTGAGTGAGTGAGGCTCGGGGTGAGTGAGGGGCGGGGTGAGTGAGGGGCGGGGTGAGTGAGGCTCGGGGTGAGTGAGGCTCTGGGTGAGTGAGGGGCGGGGTGAGTGAGGGGCGGGGTGAGTGAGGCTCTGGGTGAGTGAGGGGCGGGGTGAGTGAGGCTCTGGGTGAGTGAGGGGCGGGGTGAGTGAGGGGCGGGTGAGTGAGGCTCTGGGTGAGTGAGGCTCTGGGTGAGTGGGGCTCGGGGTGAGTGAGGCGCGGTGTGAGTGAGTGAGGCTCTGGGTGAGTGAGGCTCGGGGTGAGTGAGGGGCGGGGTGAGTGAGTGAGGCGAGGGGTGAGATGGGGTGAGCATGCCTCACCTCTGCCGACAGTGATGGTGATGGGGTCGACGTCGGCAGGGAACGCGTGGAGAGCGCGGGAGACGGCGAGCAGCAGCACCAGCAGGCAGAGAGAAGGGCCGCCATGCTGACCAACATCACCGCCCCCACACCATCAACATCGTTAACATCAACACAGCATTACACAACACACACACACCTCATTACCATGCAGACGTCACTGCAACATCATCACAACATTCGCGAATATCACCACGTACAACATCAACACAACATCACACAACATCACGACCGCACAAACAGCATCACATCACCATAATATCCCCTGACATTACCACACATCAGTACATTATCACCATCACAACATCGCCACATCAACATCCCCCAACATCAACACACACACAGATAGGCACATCGACCACTGGGACATCAACATCACCTCAACATGAACACAGAAACATCACCCAACATCACCCAACATCACCACGCGCACATCGACCACTGATATACCAACATCACCTCAACATCAACACATAAACATCACCTCAACATCACCCAACATCGCCACGCGCACATCCGCACATGGGCCACTGGGACATCAACATCACCCCAACATCAACACAGAAACATCACCCAACATCACCACGCGCACATCGGCCACTGGGACATCAACATCACCCCAACATCAACACAGAAACATCACCCAACATCACCCAACATCACCACGCGCACATCGACCACTGGGGCATCAGCATTCCAGCCTCGCCTTGGGCGCCTCCCGCTGTTTGCTCTGTGAAAATTACTTATCGACTGAGGGGGTGAGCGGTGAGGGAAGGGGTGAGGGGTGAGGGGAGGGTGAATGTTGATAGGGTGAGGGGGTGAGGGTGAGTGAAAGGGTGAATGTTGAAAGGGTGAGGGGTGAGTGAAGGGGGGTGGAATTTGAGAGGGTGAGGGAGTGAGTGAATGTTAAGAGGGTGACGAGGTGAGGGGGTGATGGAAGGGGAGAATGCTGAGAGGGTGACGAGGTGAGGGGTGATGGAAGGGAGGATGCTGAGAGGGTGAGTGACGGGTGAGGGTTTAGGGGTTGAATGATGAGAGGGTGAGGAAGGGGTGAGTGTCGAAACAATGCCGACACTTGAGGAGCGCCAGAGACGACCGAGACGAGAGACATTGGAGAGAACAGAGGACATTGGAGAGACAGAGACACAGAGTCAGAGGCACGGGACAGGGAGACAGGGATACGGCACATAGACACAGGGAGACAGTGACACGGAGAAACAGACACGAGACAGAGAAACAGGGGATAGACACAGGGAGACAGGGGAGAGACAGGGGATAGACAAAAGGAGACAGACACGAGACAGAGAAACAGGGGAGAGACACAGGGAGACAGACACGAGACAGAGAGACAGGGGAGAGACAGAGAGACAGAGACACGAGGAGCTCAAGGCACAGGGAGGCAGTGACACAGAGAGACAGACACGGAGAGACAGAGAGACAGACACGAGACAGAGAGACAGGGGAGAGACAGGGGAGAGACACAGGGAGACAGGACAGAGAGACAGACACGGGACAGAGAGACGGGAAGACAGAGACACGGAGAGCTCAAGACACAGGGGAGGCAGTGACACAGAGAGACAGACACGGAGAGACAGAGAGACAGACACGAGACAGAGAGACAGGGGAGAGGCAGGGAGACAGGACAGAGAGACAGACACGAGACAGAGACACAGGGGGAGACAGAGACACGGAGAGCTCAAGACACAAGGAGGCAGACGCAGGCTCCCGGTTCCCACCGATTCACCTGGGCTCGCGAAGTCGCAGACACGGAGCGTCGACAGATGCGGGGAGAGAGGAGATGAGGGGAGATGAGGGGAGATGGGGGGAGATGGGGGGAGATGAGGGGAGATGGGGGGAGATGAGGGGAGAGAGGATAGGAGGAGATGGCGAGGAGGATTGTGATGAGGAGGTGGAGATGAGATCGCGGAGAGTGGAGCCGCAATTCGAGTGACGGCAGCGGCTGCACGGTGCAGCTCCCCCCACAGCCCCCCCCCCCACTGCCCCCCCCCCAATCCTGACTCCCCTCCCCCTCGTCCCCCCAATCCCGACTCTCCCCCCTCCCCTCTGACCCCCCACCACGGGATGAGCGGCTCCGCCCCGAGATGAGCTCCACGCGTCCGCGGAGGGGATTTGGGAGAGGAGGGGGAGGGGGGGTGAAAGGAGGAGCGGGGGGGGTGATGACGGGGGAGTGAGAGACAGGGGGGAGGGGGTGGTAGGGGATGGAGGGGGGAGGGAACCATCTGCAGCATCAGAGAGAGGGAGCAGGTGCAGAGATGAGACTGGGTTGTACGGGTGCGTGTGTGTGTGCGCGTGCGTGTGAAGGGAGGTTCTCGCTAACACCACTTGCCCCAACAGTCTGTCCAGGCTATACGGTGAATCTTTGTCTTTTGTGTGTGAGGGGAGCGGTGGTGCAGTGGTTAGCGCTACGTTGCGCTACGAACCCGGCGGCCTGAGTTCGATTCTCGCTCACGGCCACCAACACCGGTGATGATGATCTTATCTGAACCGGTTCTGGGCCTCCCCAAGGTCAACTCAGCCTCGAATGAGTACCTGTTGCAATGTGTAGGTGTAGCCACTCGGGATACAAAGGTGGTCGGGCGTGGTGCTAGCCACCCACCCTATCATGTGCCGTGCCTTTATTGCCCCCACAGTCTGTGAAGGCTTCACGGGGGAACCTTGTCTTTGTGTGTCTGGGGTGTGCGTCTGGGGTGTGTGTCTGGGGTGTGTGTATGGCGGGGTGGGGAGTGTTGGGATGTGCGTGTGTGTGTATTGTGTGTGTATTGTGTGTGTTTTGTGCACACACACAACACCACAACTACCACTCACCACGAACACACACGCCAGTCGCACCACTCACCACCGTCATACCACGGCCACCACCGCCACCACCGCAAACACCCACACACACCACAATCACTCACGCAAAAGCCACCAGTCGCCACGAAATGACGTCTCCAATGGGCTTGTACCAGGCTAGGTGCACTTTGAAGCCACGTGAAGTGTGGAAGGCTCGCTGCTGACTGGAATGACTGTGTCCAGTTTGTTGTCTTTCTCTCGCATCTCCAATTAGCACGGTTTGCTACGTACGGAGTGAAAGAAGTTAAACACACATACATATATAACTGTGTTTCCCCAATGTGCCAACTAACTGCGTTTTATCCGCACGGCGCTCAGCTCGTTGTTGTGAGCGTCACTCCTCCGCCATCCGTTGTTGCTGGAGGGCGACTGCCTCCAACAGCAGCGTCCTTCACGAGCCTCCTGTCCAGAGGTCGATCTTGACACCGCTGGTACCAGTCACCGGCAAAACCAATAAGCTCCACATCCTCACGGACCGCATCAGCCCATCGCTTCTCGAGCCCGTGCCACGCCCGTTTAGCCCCCTCTGCCATCCGGCTGAACAGAAGCTGCTTGGCCATGCGGTGGCTGAGCCAGCCAACGCAGCCTTGCCTGCTGGAGGAGATCACTGATGGGGCTGCGTCCAGAGCCTTTAAGGATCTGTGAGCTCCTCACACTGTAATCCAGTTTGGTTAAACCCAGTATGGATCGTAGGCAGGGCCAGCCTGAATATTTCAACCCGCAGCAGATGTTCCTATAAATGGGTCCAAGTTTTGCAAGCATAGAGAAGGGAGGGCATAACTTTGGTTTGGGAAGAACCTGAGGATTCGTGTGGAGCGAGAAACAAGGAAGCATTAGCACAGCGTCACGCAGCCGATTAAAATATGTCGCTACGGTAATTCGGAGCGAGACCTCTGCTGCCAAACTGGAGCTGGTAACGAGCACGCTGACGAGGTCAAGGGTCGGCAACCAAAAAAACATTTTTTTTTCGAATTCGGTAACAAACAAAAAAATCAACCCTCGATATTTCAAGAGCCGCAGTGCACCGTGTGGCGAATACGAGACGACGCATCCTCAATAAACAACATCACGGCGCGGTCCTCGAAGAGCCGCATTCAACTCCGGACCTGCAGGTTGCCGAGACCCTGGCCTAGGTATTGGAACTCCTCCACTCCCTCCGCAATGACTCGTGGAGGGATGAGTGGGTGGAGTGTTCGATGACACAACGTACCCAGGCAAGGGGCTGTGTGTGTGTGCGTGGGGCTGATGGTGAGGCCCCAACCTCTTATGGTGGTAGCACGGTCCAGAGTCAGCAATAGTGTCTCCAACTCATTCTCAAAGTGAGCAGATATTTCCAGACGTGATAGATCAATAGGAAGCCATCCCTTGACCGCATCCGCACAATCCATCAGCCTTGTTCTAAAGTAAAATTCCACTGGTACAGCCATTTACTTCATGCACACACAGACAAAGATCCCCCGTATAACCTACACAAGGCTGCTGGGGCAAGTGCTGTTAGCGAGCACCTATGAAGGCCGGTACGACACCACGAGAGGGTGGGTGGCCGGCACCACGCCCGGTCGTCTTTGTCTCTCGAATGACGATGTTTACACACCAGTTTCATTTGATGCTGAGTCGACCCAGGGGAGGACCGGTTCAGATAATCGTCAATGGAGTTGGTCGTGAGCGTGAATCGAACTCGGGTTCGTAGCGCACGTGCGCTAACCACGACACTACTGCGCACACAAAGATCCCCCGTATAGCCTACACAGGCTGCTGGGGCAAGTGCTGTTAGCGAGCACCTATGAAGGCCGGCACGGCACACGAGGGGGTGGTGGCGAGAGCAGCATCGCCCTGCCCCGCTCCATTGGAGTCTCGGTATGGGACAGGCCCAGGTCAGGTTGCGATAGCACGTGCTCCTCATGTTGGCCGTGAGTGGGAATCGCCACCGATCGGCACTCGCGCACAAAGACAAAGATCCCCCGTATAGTGTTAACAGACAGTTGGGGCAAGTCCTGTTAAACGAGCACCTATGAAGGTCGGAACGGCACTTAAGTCGGTGGTTGGGTGGCCAGCACCCCGCCCCGACCCCCTTTGTCTCCCACTACTGGTGTTTTACACAGCGCACCGCGTACTCATTTAAGGCTGAGTCGACCTAGGGGGGTGCCCATGACGGGTTCAGATCATCATCGTCGTCATCACTGGTGTTGGGTGGCCGTGCGCGGGAATCGAACTCGGGTCACTGGGTTCGTAGCGCAGTGCGCTGATCGCTGCGCCACCGCTCCGCACTCGCGCGCGCACGCACGCGCACGTGCGCGCACCCATTTCGACCACACACGCACACTCTCAGCCCCTTGCCACTCATCTATCGATTGGTGCCTCCGTGAATTATTTACGCGAGGGGGGTAGGCTGAGTCCAAGGGTGGGGGTTTGTGATGCAGACAGTGGGGGGCTCTGCCCCCCTCCCCACCCACCAGCCAGCGTGCACTCCACACTACCTGAGCGAGCGTCTCCACTCCTTCAGGGCCCCCCACCCTCCGTGCCCCCTACCACCAGCACCGCCATCATTACCACCATCACCACTACCAACATGAGCACAGCCACCACCATCACCACTACCAACATGAGCACAGCCACCATCATCACCACTGCCACCAGCACCGCCATCATCACCACCATCACCACTACCACCATTACCACTACCACCATGATCACAGCCACCCCAATCATCACCACTGCCACCATCATCATCACAACCACCATCATCACCACTAGCACCACCACCATCATCACCACTACCACCATGATCAGCATCACTACCACAACCAGCACCGTCATCATCACCACTTGCACCAGCGCTACAAAATCACACCTCTTTGGTGTCGCTGTCTGTCTATTGTTATTATTATTATTGTTAAATATCTTCCGAAATGTTTCTTCCGACGTTTCAACGCAACTCAATCGGTATTTGTTGCACAGAAAATCCCGTGTAGCCAGTTACCCAGCTAGCTTCCGTGGCAAACGACCCCGCAGCAGCCACTAACAACAATAACAACAACAATAACAACAACAACAGAGTCATCGTTGGGGTGGCGAGGAGTACAGACAGGATCCAGACACGAAACTCGTAAGTATCGCTTATTACGTACGGTGCGAAAGAAGTCCAACATACATACGCACATAATATAGGTTTTTGGGTGGGATCGCGTTATTTATAAATGTGTCGTAACCTTCCACCACCCGACACGGCCAAACAGTAAAAAATGTGTCACGTTTTTCAAAGGAGTGTTACGACACATTTATAAATAACGCGATCTGACCCAAAAACCTACATTATGAATAATATTGATCGCGAAAGCCTACGTGTTAAATACATACGCACGTACATACAGTCGTGTTAATGGTAAGTAAGACGCAGTGTGTTACTCGACTGAGCACGACTGAACAGAAAGTCACAGAACCGAGACTTCACTCAACTGGGGCAGGGTCCCACACGGGCTGCTGTGTCTGCGCTGAGTGTAAACACGACGACGGAGACGAACACGCAGCAGCAGCGAACAACGGCGGCGGTCACCGCACCGCGCGGCGCTTTCGGATGCGCTTCAGCGGCCGTCTGGAACGCTCTTCCTTTCGATGTGAGGAAGCCACAGGGAGATATGCGCTTTTACATCGTTATCATGATCTAGATTCGCAAATGCATATCTTGAGAACAGCTTTTAGTGTGTTTCGTTTTTGTTGCCCCTCCCCCCACACCTCCACGTACGGTGCGAAAGAGGTTCAACATACACGTACACACACATTGACGCTGCACACACATTGACGCCCCGCTACAGCCTCGCCAGGACAGCGCCCTCGCCGCTCGCCACCAGGGGTCGCTCCGGCCCTTGACTGCACCCACTCGGCTGCCTGCCTGCCGAATGGGGAGCGCGCCGCGCTACGATCCGATTCCCATTCACGGCCAACACCGGCGACGATTATCTGAACCGGTCCTGGGCCTCTCCGCTTCGTCGATGAGTACCTGATGCGGTGTGTGAACATCGCCACTGGGGGAGACAAAGGCGGTCGGGCGTGGTGCTGGCCACCCACCCACTCGTGTGCCGTGCTGGCCTTCATAGGTGCTGCTCGCTAACAGCACTTGCCCCAACAGTCTGTTAAGGCTACACGGGGGTCTTTGTCTTTTGTTGTATTTTGTGCACGCGCGAGTGTGGTGAATGTTTTGTGGCGTGGTTAACAATGCCCGGCCTGGATTTTCACAATGAACATAATCGTGTCGGGTCTTCTGATAGATCATTTTCGCAGAGCCCGGACAGAACCGCCAGCTGAAATTAAACCTTTTGTGGATCTATACAATGCCATGCCTCTTCCGAAATTCAACTACATTTTTATTTTATTTTACCAGGTAAGGCCCACTCAGCTATATAGCTTGTTTTTCAGAAGCGACCTGGTTATCACAAATGACGGCTCAACGAAGCGTGGTTTATCACGCGGACATTTAAAACAGTCAAATAATCTAAACGCGTAATGTTGATTCTAAATGTGGAGGGAAAACCCAAATATACAGCAGCAGGCGTCAGGGTCGGGATCGAACCCTCCACCTCCTTCATACCAGGCGAGGTAGTTAACATCTCCTAGCCACCGTGGCACCCGTCTGTCATTGCGTGATATTTTCATTTCCCCTCGACCGTCGTCTGGAACGTCAATTCCATGGGTTTCAAGACAAGACTCAAAAACGTGCGACATTTGTGCGCTATGAAGAAAAACACATCAACAGCTCCTAAAGAACTGCATTGCAATTGGGCCTCTCGTGTCAGGTCATTTGTGAGCGAATGCGGCCGAATAACGGCGACATTGTCGTTAGAACCATTAGACAACGCTGCTCCAACGTTGCATGTTTAGGGGTCATCCATTTAGTACGTACGCATGGAGGGGGCAGGGGGGGGGGGGGTTAACCCAAATACGTTCGCTTGCGTATGGGGGTCTACTGACAATGTACGCATAGGAAACTGGGGGGGGGGGGGTGTGAAGCCTCGATAATAATTGTCTACATTAGCCTTCAAATGAGTTAGATAGTCCGGCGGTGGACTATCTGTTTTCTTAAACACGTTAACATTATTAATCCTTGATCGTTTCTGCGTGGATTAAATATCGGTCGTTATATAAGATTCGGGGGGGGGGGTGCGTCAGGCGTACGTACGCAGTTGGGGGAGGGGTGTAAAAAGTCCGCGTGCGTACAGGGAGGGGGAAAAAGGTCAAGTTTTGACAGATTTTTGCCGACCTACTCAATGGATGGCCCCTTACTGGGCGTTGGTGACGATTTTGCGCTGCTCATGCTGATGCTGCTGCTGATGATGCTGCTGCTGATGATGCTGCTGCTAATTATGGTGAAACCGGTCCACAGTTCTCGATCCCTGCATCGCTGCTGCTGCTCCTGCCGCTGCCATTCGGTCACAGGTTGATGGCGACCTCAAACAAGAGGTCCAACTACAACGCACTTGCTATCAGGAGCTGTTGATGGGGTTTTGCATCCACGTGCAAAGGCTGCGTGGTCTTGTCGCGCGACTTCGAGTCTTGCTCGAAACCCTGCGGGCTTTCTTGAAGGAGGTTCTCGTCATGTACAGATCTGAACGGCGAAATCCCCCCGCAGACGTCCGTGCTGACGACTACCCCCCGCCCCCGATTCAATTCCAGGCGTAAGCCCTGCCTGATGAGGCTCAAGTAGTTTATTGTTCCATTGGAACCTCATTTGCCAGTAAAAATATGATAATTGTTTTTTTTACTCTTCTATCTGGCAACAAAACTGACACTTTTTTTACAAGGAGTCATGTTTACATAGACCACAATACCTGCAGTCATAATGCAAACAAAAACATAACTCTGATAATGTATGCACTGTCCTTGAAGTTGATTGGTCCACACCCGAGACAGCTTTCCTTAGAGCCTAGTCTCATCTGGTCCAACCCATGTGAGACTATGCTCTAAGGAAAGCTGTCTCGGGTGTGGACCAACACAAAAACAATTATCATAGTTTATTGTTGAACCAGGGTGTGAACTCAAGTGGAGACATGATAGGAGTCTCATTTTCAAGAGTGACTCCGTTAATTGAGTGGGTGGGTGAGTTGATTCAAGAGCCGAATGGCTCACAGGGCTATACCAAATAAATGAAACTGAAAACTGAAGTTGAGTTGGTGAGTTCAAGTTACAAGCAGTCTATTCTTTAACCCGTTGTGAACTCAAGATGTGGGGAATGCTGCACAAAGGTAAATCAACGTTACAGAACGAATTGCGTGGAGCGTGAGACGGCTCCCATAGATGAATGTTAACCCGATCTCGGCACAATTACAAAATGAAGTTACAGAAACATTCACCTATTGTCGAGTGCGACGATTGTACGAATGTGTAGACAGAGGGTTATGGACTAGTCAAATGGGCAATGTTAGTCTGGGAAATGTTAGTCCATAGGCAGTGTCAGTCTATGGGCAGTGTTAGTCTATGGGCAATGTTAGTCTGGGCAATGTTAGCCTATGGGCAATATTAGTCTGGGCAATGTTATTCTGGGCAATGTCAGTCTATGGGCAGTGTTAGTCTGGGCAATGTCAGTCTATGGGCAGTGTTAGTCTATGGGCAGTGTTAGTCTATGGACAGTGTTAGTCTATGAAAAATGCTAGTTTATGTGCAATGTTAATATATGGGCAGTGTAAGTCAATGGAAAATGCAGGTCTCTGGTGACTATTGTTTGAACATGTAAACAGACACGGGATTATACGATGTCAATTGTAAGTGAAGTTATAAATAACAGACAGTTTATTGTACAGTCATGCAACTCAGTTTCTTTAACGACCGCCTACTACCGAACGTAACGGTGCGTATGCTGCTGCTGATGATGATGTCGTGGTTATAATGCTGCTGATGATGCTGATGATGTCATGGTTAGAATTCTGCTGATGTTCATGGGTGCTGATGATGATGTGGTCGTTATAATGCTGCTGATGATGCTGATGATGTCATGGTTAGAATTCTGCTGATGTTCATGGTGCTGATGATGATGTCGTCGTTATAATGCTGCTGATGATGATCATGATGATGGTGCAGATGATGATGTTATGGCTATAATGCTGCTGATGGTGACGTTGGGGGTGATGTTATGATTATAAATCTGCTGATGATGATGATGGTCGTGGTGCTGCTACTGATGACGATGCTAGTGCCGATCACGGTCTTTAGGATCGGTCGAGAGACACGGGGGAGAGAGAGAGGAGGTGAGGAGAGGAGGAGGTGAAGGGAGGAGAGGAGGTGAGGGGAGGAGGAGGTGAGGGAGGAGGAGGTGAGGGGAGGAGGAGGTGAGGGGAGAGAGGAGGTGAGGGGAGGAGGAGGTGAGGGGTGGAGGAGGGTGAGGGGAGGAGGAGGTGAGGAGAGAGAGGAGGTGAGGGAGGAGGAGGTGAAGAGGGAGAGAGGAGGTGAGGGGAGGAGGAGGAGGTGAGGGGAGGAGGAGATGGGATGATGATGAGGAGAAAGCCTCTTAGGCCTCCTCACCCCGTTACCTCCTCACCCCGTTACCTCCTCACCCCGTTACCTCTGCGCCCAGTACCCCTCACCTCGTTACCCTGTTAACAGCCCCCTCCGCCCACCCCCCGTTACCCCACCCCCCCCCCACGCACTTCTCGCACCGGGGTCCCGAGGGTCACCGCTTTGCCTGGCAACTGCCACCTTGCGTAGGTGCGCGTGTGTGGTGTACACGTGTGTGTGTGTACCCGTGTCTGTGTGTGTGTACCTGTGTGTGTGTGTATACCCATGTGTGTATACCCATGTGTGTGTACTTGTGTGTGTGTGTGTACCCGTGTGTGTGTACCCGTGTGTGTGTGTGCCCGTTTGTGTACCCGTGTGTGTTGTACCCGTGTGTGTATGTACCCGTGTGTGTGTACCCGTGTGTGTGGGTGTACCCGTTTGTGTACCCGTTGTGTGTGTGTGTACCCATGTGTGTGTGTGTACCCATGTGTGTGTCTACCCGTGTCTGTGTGTGTGTACCCATGTGTGTGTACCCATGTGTGTGTACCCATGTGCGTGTGTACCTGTGTGTGTGTGTGTACCTGTGTGTCTGTGTGTGTACCCGTGTGTGTGTGTGTACCCGTGTGTGTCTACCCGTGTCTGTGTGTGTAGTGTAGTGGTGAGCGCCCTGCGCTACAAACCCAGCGACACTAGTTCGATTCCCGCTCACGGCCAACAACCAATGACGATTATCTGAACCGGTCCTGGGCCTTCCCTAGGTCGACTCAGCCTCAAATGAGTACCTGGTGCGGTGTGTAAACATCGTCACTGGGGAGACAAAGGCGGCCGGGCGTGGTGCTGGCCACCCACCCCCTCGTGTGCCGCGGTGGCCGTCATCGGTGCTCCCTAACAGCACTTGCCCCTACAGTCTGTTAAGGCTACACGGGGGATCTTTGCCTCTGTTAGCGCGCACACACAGACACACGCAGACACACGCAGACACACACAGAAACGCAGACACCGCACAGACACACGCACAGACACCCACAGACACACACACACACAGACACACACACAGACACACAGACACACACACACAGACACACAGACACACACACACAGACACCTGCGCGTGCTCACCTGCGCGTGGGTGAGCACGCGTGAACGTCTCTGCTCCTCCCAGGGCATCCTACTCAGCCCCCCCCCGCCCCCACTCACTCGGGTTAGAACGCAGCGGGGAGACGGGAGAGACGCGAGGGAGAGACGCGAGGAGGGAGATTTGCAGGAGACGGCAGTCGCCGCTGTCAGAGCCGGCGTCTCCTCCCGCCTCCACGACAGCCGTTACCCCTGACGTTACCCCTGACGTTACAGTGATCTCTCTCCCGTTACCTCTCTCGTTACCCCCCCCTCCCCTCACGGCCCCTCCCCCTCACCTCCCAGACGAAGCTTCCCTCCCCTTCACCACCAAGGTCACTGCCGGCATCGCGGCGCGCGCAGGGGGCGCGCATCTTCCTCCTCCTCGCCCCCCCATCTCCTGCTCCCCCTCTCTTCTCTCTTCTCTCACTCTCCATCAATTCCTCTTCCCTCCACTACCTCCTCCATTCCTACACCTTCTCCCTCTTACCCTCCTCACCCCACCTCCTCCTCCTCCCCCCCACCTCCTCCTCCCCCCCCACCTCCTCCTCCCCCCCACCTCCTCCTCCCCCCCACCTCCTCCTCCTCCCTCCCACCTCCTCCTCCTCCCCCCCACCTCCTCCCCCCCCCCGGATTCCCAGAGCTGGAGGCGGGGATGATGGCGTCTCTCCCCCTCCCCCTCAAGGCTCCAAAGGCCCAGATCTGCTGCTGCTGGATGCAGGTGAGAACACCTGCTCACACAGACTCACAGAGAGACCCATATACTCACAGAGAGACCCATATACTCACAGAGAGACCTATACACTCACAGAGAGACTATAGACTCACAAAGAGACCCATAGACTCACACGAGACCCATATACTCACAGAGAGACCCATATACTCACAGAGAGACCCATATACTCACAGAGAGACCTGTAGAGTCACAGATAGACCCATAGACTCACAACGAGACCCATAGACTCACAGAGAGACCCATATCCTCACAGAAAACCCCATATACTCAGAGAGACCTATATACTCACAAAGATACCCGTAGACTCGCAGAAAGACCTGTAGATTCACAGAGAAAATTAAATAATACGTAGAAATCTATAGATTAAAATAGATGAATAGGCCCACATCTCAATTTCTCACCCATCCACCATCACCCCACTCCACTCACCCCTTCACCATCACCCCACTCCCTCACCCCTTCACCATCACCCCACTCCCCTCACCCCTTCACCATCACCCCACTCCCCTCAACCCCTTCACCATCACCCCACTCCCTCACCCCTTCACCATCACCCCACTCCCCACTCCCTCACCCTTCACCATCACCCCACTTCCTCATCCCAATCCCTCACTTGCTTAGGCATTCATTTCTGACTCGATATTTTCCGGAACCCTGCTAGGCTGACTTGGAGAAGGGATTATGGCATAAGGCACTACCACTGGAGTATAGGGCACGACTCTTCATACACATTCCTCTATGATCGTATTCTGTATTAGGGGCCGTCCATAAATGACGTCACGCACCTAGGGGGGGGGTCAGACATTTGTGACGTGTGACGAGGGGGGGGGGAGGGGTTTGAGAAATGTGACATCACATCAAAATGCGCAACTTTAAATAAATTTAGACAACACGTTCTACTTAATTAAATATACTTTTTAATAAATGTTTTTTCCTACAACATCAGAGTGCAGCGCCACGTTAAATACGCACTACAATGACTATAGTTTAAAGCGATTTGAAGCATTTTTTTTGGGGGGGGGGGGAAATCGCGTGACGTCATTTATGGACGGCCCCTTAATCCCATAATTAATCAAACAGGATTATAAATATGGACTTGCAACCCGCACTGCTTTTTTATTTTAGTGTGTTAGTTTGTTGTCCTTCCCCCGCACCTCCGATTAGCGCGGTTGGCTACGTACGGTGCGAAAGAAGTTCAACCCACACACGTCATTTGGACGCAGCCAAAGGAGAAGAGGAAGAAGACGCAGGAGAGATATTTCTTTTGGTTTTTGACTTTGACCCAAATAGTTCGAGAACCGCATCACAGGCAGAGCTACTTGTACACAAACACAGCAGCGGGTAAACAGCAAGATGACAACAACAACAACAACACATTATGACTTAAATAAACAAAATAGTGATGGAATAAAGTGCGTCTATTTAAAAAAAATCCTGCATTTAGTTATTCTTTAACAGTACAGTTTGACTGTTGTACATTTTGTCGTCACCAATACATTCCATAGCCACACATTCCCTGCCGTATTTAATAAATTGTCGTGACGTTAAATGATGTTTAAGGTTAAAGTTTTGTTTTGGGGTTGTTGTTAAACGGGGGAAGCCAAAGAGGCGCAGGTTGCCGACCCCTGGAAGTGACCCTGCGTCCCCCCCCCCCCCCCCTGCTGCCTGCTGCTGTAGGCGTCGCTACGCACCTCCCTGCTGCTGCTACTGCTGCTGCTGGCGGGCACCTCGCTCGCCCTGCAGTGCCCCCCGCGCTGCGACTGCCCCCCGACCTCGGGGGCTCCGTGCTGTGCGCGCGCCGCCGCCTCCTCGCCGTGCCCGGGTCCGCGCCGGGGTCGGCGCGCTCCCTGGACCTGTCGCGCAACCACGTGGCGCGCCTGGGCGCCGGGGACCTCGCGGCCTGGGCGGCCCTGGAGGAGCTAGACCTGAGCGAGAACGCGCTGGGCGCGCTGGAGCCGGGCTCCTTCGCGGGGCTGGGCGCCCTGCGCTCCCTGTCGCTGCGCTGTAACCGCATCGCGGTGCTCCCGAGCGGAGCCTTCGCGGCTCTCGGCGCCCTGCGGCGGCTGGACCTGAGCGGCAACCGCATGCGCGCCGTGCCGCGCGGCGCCTTCTCGGGTCTGGGCGCCCTGGGCAGCCTCGATTTGTCCGAGAACTCGCTGCTGTGGGTGTCACAGGGCGCCTTCGAGGGCCTGGGCGCCCTGCGCTCGCTGTCGCTGCGCCGCGCGGGGCTGCGCGCCCTGCCGAGCGGCGCCCTCGCCCGGCTGCCCGCGCTGTCCGAGCTGGACGCGTCGGGCAACTCCCTGCGCGCGCTGGGACCTCGCTGCCTGCGGGGGGTCCCGCGCCTGCGCGTGCTGCGGCTGTCGGGCGCGGGGCTACGGCGCGTGGAGCCGGGCGCCCTGCGCGGGCCTCCCTGCGCTCCGCGACCTCGACCTCTCGGAGAACGCCCTGGACTCCCTGCCCGAGCGCGCCGGCGCCCCGCTCGCCCTGCGTGCCCTGCGCCTCGACGGCAACCCCATCGCGTGCGACTGCCGCCTCCTCTGGCTGCGCACCCGGCCGAGTCCCGAGGCGCTGCTGGGGGGCGGCGAGGGCCCCCCCTGCGCGGCGCCCCCCGAGGCGCGGGGCGCGCGGCTGCTGAGCGCCCCGCTGCGGTGCAGGGCGCCGCGCGTGAGGCTGCGCGCGGGGCCCGTGGCGGTGCGCGCGGGGGGGCGCCGTGCGCATCCCGTGCAGCGCGAGAGGGGACCCGCCCCCCAGCCTCGCGTGGAGGGACCCCCGGGGCCGCTGGTACGAGCACGAGGGGGATGAGGACGATGAGGGGGGTGAACGGCAGGGGGAGCAGGGGAGAAGGGGGAGGCAGGAGAGCAGGGCGAGAATGGCGGGGAGGAGGAGGAGGATAAGGAGGAGGAGGATGAGAAGAAGGAGGAAGAGGATGGGGAAGAGGGGACGAGAGAGCCAATAGCGAATGGAGAACAGGGGAGACACTAGGGAGCAGAGAGGAGGTGGTGGTGATGAGGAGGGGGGGGAAGCAGGGGGATGGGAAGGGGGGTGAGCAGGAGGGTGATGATGATGATGATGACGATGATCGAGAGCGCGGGCCCCGGCTCCGCGTGCTGCGGGACGGCTCGCTGCTCCTCGTGTCGGCGCGCGCGCGGGACCGCGGCTCGTACACGTGCGTGGCCTCCAGCGCCGCGGGCCGCCACCTCCGCGCGGTTGCCCCTCGTCGTGTCGGGGCCCGGGGGGGTCCCGCCGCCGTCCCTCTCCGACCCCTCCGACTCCTCGGACCTTTGGGACCCAGCGGACCCCTGGGACGCCGTCGATCCCGCAGACTCCGAGAGCTTCAACGCGACGGGGAACGCGCGGGGAGGCGCGCGAGCCCGCCGGGACCCCGCTGACCCCGCTGACCCCCTTGCTGCTGGTGTCCGCGGGGCTGGGGGGCCTCACCTTCCTCGGCGTTGTGATTCTCTGCCTCCTGGTCCTCGCCGCGGGAACGCGGAGTTGGGGCCACAAGAGGAGGAGGAGGACGAGGCAGCGAACGGAGCTCGAGTACGGGGGGACCCGCAGATCGAGGGGGGGTCCCAGGAGCCCCAGCCGGGCCCCCCCTCGTCACTTCGTCATGAGGATGATGTGAGCTTCCTAACAACGGTGGCACTAGGTAGGCTAAAACCAAGTACGAGTGTAGGGCCCCAATTAGCTCAAGGGGATTTGGTTTTATGAAATGTAGAAGCGCTTCAATGATCAGATGAAATTCTAATTAATATTAACACATCAAGATAATCAACATAAACAGCGAATTAATCTCTCCTCTGTATCATGTCTGCATCCTTCCTCTCATTTCACTCCATCCCTGTCTCGCCTGGATCTCCCCTCATCTCGCTACAGCTCTATCTCTTCTCTACATCTATTCTGCCCCCCCCCTCCACAACACCGACGAGATGGAATAACAATACAGAAGACTAAGCACACGGTTTTCTTTTAAAATGGTCTAACTTTTCAATTTAATTATTCATGTTAATATTTCGCCAGAATATTCTTAAAATCCGAGAAAAAATAAACCTCACAATGCATATTATCTTGGCATTATTTTATGAGATTAAACAACGCAGATTACTCGCAGTGCTCCGTGTACAGGATGATTGTGAGAAGAGTATACACATCACAGCTGTTGCATTTATTTCCGTTGCGGAGCACCAGCGGGTTCTTTCCTCGTAATGTCACCAATCGTAGACGACGTGGAGCTGCATCGCATCCGTGCTGCACGTGACCATCCCGGCGTCTTTGTGCGCTCACCGCAACACCACGTGCCACCACCGTTGTCGTCATCACTCGTTCGCCATAGCTCTGTGGTCGATGTCTCCGTGAAATTCGTTCGCAATTGCCTCATCAGTAGCTGTAGCAACGTCGTCAAAGTGTTGTGTGTAAATCAACGTCGACGTCACTTCAAACAAATCCGACCGCAGTCCTGTTCGTAAGCCAGGTGGATTCGTAGCTTGGGAGAGGGCGGGGGTGGGGGAGAAGGACTTTAATCGAGCAGTGGATTGGCCGATTACGATGGTGAGCAATAGCAACTCCCACACGTGTAGTGGCATTGCCTTTGATCCTGTACGTGTAACAATAGTGTAGTCAGCAGCATTGTTTTGTTGTGGGTTTCCAGGTGGCTCCACGGGGCCCTCTTTTTACAATCTTTTTTTTTTTATCAGAGCACTGATCAGTTGTTGTGGAGTACAGTGAGTCCTCGTTGAACGCGATAGATGCGTTTCTGAAAAGTGCCACGTTAAGCGAAAAACGCGTTTAGCGAAAACCTTTCCCGATAAGTAATGTAGCGATAATGTTTGTGGCGAGATACGATGTGCTACACACAGTGAGGTGGCGGGCCAAATAACTCAGGGCACGCCACCACGTGATTGCTCAGCCGTGCAGCTCTAGAAAGTAGTTCGTAATCGACCGCTCAGAAACCCCGTTATAACGGACACGTTCCGCGTTATAATGGTCGCGTTCTGCCTTATAACCGGCGCGTTCTGCGTTATAACCGGCGCGTTCTGCGTTATAACCGGCGCGTTTCGCGTTATAACGGGCGCTTTCCACGTTGTGCGAAAAGTGTTCCCAAATGGAAGAACTGCGTTGTAGCGAACACGCGTTGTGCAACCACGTGTTGAGCGAGGGCTTAACTACGTAACTGTGTACCCTACACGATAGCTATGAGGTTTGTTCATGCTTAAGTGCCAACAGACGTGATTGATTTCACGTTAACTATACGGGCCCACGCTTTGGGCAACCGCCAATGTTGTACAGTACTGCGCTATGCTCCAACGTCTTTGCTCCCTGCGCCTTCACCAACAAGCCGGCACGGTGTAGTATGGTCAAATAACCGCCATGACACCGCACGTGAGTGGGAGTTTGGAGGCCTCTCATCCAGCAGTGGAGTGACAATAAAAACAGCCGTGTGCCCTTATTCTTTCGTTGTACATATGAGTTGTTTATTTAAATCTCTTGTTGTATTTTTACTGTACCCCCTTGTCATAGAGATAATTTATTTAAATAAACGTTATATTATTATTATCACGTGTTACCGACAGACTTTTATCTGTGAGTCAACGTGGGTGAGGGGGTGGGGAGTTTGAATCTCCCGCCGGGGCGTGACGTCATCACGAGAACTCTCTCTCTCCGTGACGTCACCGCGCGGTCACGTGAGGCCGAGCTCACCGATGGCGATGGAGGAGGCGGCGCGGCTGGAGGAGCCGGGACTTGCGGTGGAGACCTCGGAATCGGTGAGGTTCGGGGGCCCCGGGGGCGAGCTGGGGGACGTGGGGTCCCGGCATGCGAACGCCCCCCCCCCTAGGGGAAGCGCGAGGCCGGAGGCGTCAGGGGGACGCGGGGCCTCGCCGCTGCGTGAGCGGAGCTTCAACGGGGGGCCTAGTGCAGGCTTTATACGGCTTTCCTGAACTGCGGCCCCCGGCAGCCCTGCAGCGATTTGGGGCGGGGTTGCTCTCAGCACGAGACGCTCTTCGGCCTCCCCGAACCCCATGTGTGTTCGTGTCCCCGTGTCCACGATACTCTCTGTCTCCCCCTGTCCCCCTCTCTGTCTCCCCGTGTCTCACCCGTCCTCTCCTATCACCGTACGCCCCCCCCCCCCCTCTCCCCGTGTTCTCCAGGACTCGAGCGATGCGAGCAGCACGGACAGCGGCAGGGATGTGGCGGACGGGGCGACCACGACCTCGTCCCCGGCGACCCTGGGCACCGGTGAGTGAGGGCAGCCCGCAGTGGTTCACCGGGTCACGAGGTCGCCGGCTCACGGCTGCCATCTCTCCACCCACCCAGTGTCACTGACAAACAGATGATGCTGGATAATGACGGTGGTGGTAATCATGACAACGGTGGTGGTGTTGCTGACGATCACGGTAACAAATCACAGCTGGTCACCCGGCACACTGCCCCCCCACCACGCCCCCTCGTCGTCATGATTACATCGCGAAAGTGAAGAGGTCACGGTGGAGGGTTACCATGCCACACAGGTGACCAGGTCACTGGGCCCCCTCACCCCTCACCCCACACCCCACACCCCTTCCGTAGCAGCAGACAAACAGCGCGATCGGGAGCGTGAGGGGGCGCGTCGGGGAGAGGGCAGCCCCCGTGAGCCAGCAGCCCAGAAGGGGGCGCGCACGCGGCTCGGTGCGCCCAGCAAGGGCTACGCCTCGCTGGAGCAGAGGCCCCGAAGAGAAACCCCTGGTGGCCATCGACTCCGACAGGTGCCGATCTTTTGCTTCCCAGCTCGCACGCGCGCGCATGTACAGCTCGCGCAAACACACACGTACGGCTCGCACTCACACGTGCACACACGTACTGCTCGCACGCGCACACACATACAGCCTGCATGCACGCAAGTACAGCTTGCGCACACCCACTTACAGCTCGTACACACGGACGCGCTTCAGGATCGCAGCTAACACACGCAGTCAGCTCACACACAGACTCAGCTCACGCACACGTACAGCCACACACACACGTACAGCCACACACACGAACAGCTCACACACACGTACAGCCACACACACACGTACAGCCCACACACACGAACAGCTCACACACACGTACAGCCACACACACACGTACAGCCCACACACACACGTACAGCCACACACACACGTACAGCCTGCACACACACGAACAGCCTGCACACACGAACAGCTCGCACACACGTATAGCCACACACACACGTACAGCCCACACACACACGTACAGCCCACACACACGAACAGCTCACACACACGTACAGCCACACACACACGTACAGCCCACACACACGAACAGCTCACACACATGTACAGCCACACACACATGTACAGCCCACACACACACGTACAGCCACACACACACGTACAGCCCACACACACGAACAGCCTGCACACACGAACAGCTCGCACACACGTACAGCCACACACACACGTACAGCCCACACGCACGAACAGCTCACACACTTACAAACACTCTCAGTCTCAGCCCACAGATACGCACAAGCTCAAAGCTCACACATACAGTTCACAGCTCATACAGACACAGGCTCATGCATACTTCCAGTGCAACCACACACACTCAAGCTCACACTCACTCAGACTCACAGATTACACACGCATATTGCACACCTCACACAGACTCAAGCAAGCACACCACAGCTCAGAGAACACATACAGACACAAGCTCACACACTCAAACTTACAGATCATACACACGGGGCACGGAGTAGGTGTTTGTGACGAGGTGTGACAAGGTGTGCTGTGAGGAGATGGTGTTCAATAAAGTAGTAAGAGGTGCTCTGTGTAGCAAGCAGGTATTAAAGAGGTACTGTGTGTGGTTCGTACATGTTGGTAGTAGTGAGGAGGTGCTGAGTAGGTGTTGCGTGTGGTGAGGTGGTGGCTCGTGACGAGGTGTTGTTCTGTGTTCACAGCGAGGATGAGATGACGCTTTCGCGCTACTCCTCGTCGGGATATTCTTCTGCAGAGGTGAGACCCCTCCCCCCGGAGCCCCCGTAACCCCTGACCCATGGCGCCCTCACGATCCCTGTGTGCCACATTGCATTGCGCTAGAAATCCGTTCCCTCGTCACCATCAATGCTAAAGATGACAAAAATGTTAATGTTAATGATGCTGGTGATTATGACGGTGATGATAAACAATGTTCATGATGCTGGTGATAATGATGGTGATAATGATTATTAATATTATGATGATGATAATGGTGGTGATGGTGACGATTACGGCGACGGATGAGGGGACCCATCTGTTCTAGATTTGAAGCTTTCGTGACTGCAAGGATTCATATTCTTAGGTTTTTTCGGTAAAGTCACGTAGGTAAAAAATTTAAATTAATAAAAGTAAAATAAAATAAAAATAAAATAAAAATCACGACGTTTCGGAGGCAACACAAGCTTCCGTCTTCAGCAGCAGCGTGCTGTGACGGTTCCACTGAAGACGGAAGCTTGTGTTGCCTCCAAAACGTGGTGATTTTTATTTTATTTTACTTTTATCAATTTTAATTTTTTACCTACGTGACTTTACCGAAAAAACCTAAGAATATGGGACCCATCTGTTTTTGTAGCAAATCAACCAGGACCTGAACCGGCAGCTGCTGAAGGACGGGTACCGTCTGGACGAGGTCCCAGACGACGAGGACTTGGACCTCATCCCCCCCCAAACCCATGAGCCCGCGTGCGTCTGCTGCCAGCTCGCGTCTCCCTCCACCACGTGCAATGTGCAGTAGGGCTTGGGACGCAAACACCATCAATACCACCACCACCACAACGACCGTCCTAATACTAACAGCACCACCACCACGACACTGGTGTTGCCAGCTCGTGTCCCACACCGCCACTTGTAACTTGCAGTAGGGGCGGCACCTAAACTACTACTACCACCGCTACCAATACCCAGACACAAACCGCCGCGATCAATACCATTACCAATACCAGCACAAACGCCGTGATCAATACAAACACCAATAAGACCAAATACCACAAGCACTGATATCACAACAACCACCATCTCAGCCACCACCAGTCCCTCGCATCAACACAACCACTGCACTCAACACCAGCACCACAACTGCCAACAGCTATGTCACACGCGCAATAAATACCAGAACTCCTACCAACCACCACCACCACCACAGTGTTGCTGCTAGCATTGGGGTGCATAATGCTGGTATTGGGTGTTCCGCTTGATGGGTGGTGATGGTGATTATATAGATGGTGATGATAGTGATGGTGATGAAGCGCTGATGATGGTGTAGGTGGCGATGGTAATGATGATGATGATGATTGCGCTCACATAGCGTGAAGCTGGAGATGATTATACACCTTGTTCATGATGGTAATTAGTGATGAAACTTGAAGATGAGGATGGCGATGAAGTTGGTGGGTTTGACGGTGGGGCGAGGGAGCTGCCAGTCACTGGTGATATGGTGATGTAGATGGTGATGTGCTAGTGCCTCTGTCTTGTGCTCCTCACTCGCTAGACATTTTAAACTGACGATTATGGTGAGGCTGCTGCTGATACTGATGATGAGGATGGTGGTGGTGCTGATGGTGATGGTGCTGCTGTTGTTATGAAGACTGTTGGGATGAAATTGCTCATGATGTTGATATTGAGAATGTTGGTGATGGTAATGTTGATAAGCCTGCTGGTGGTTGTGATGATGGTGGAAATAATGGTGGTGATAGTGATGATGATGAATTCTGAAGCTGCTGCTGCAGATAACGATGGCAAGGAATACGATTATATTCACGATGGTGGTGTTGGTTACATTTTAGCTGATCGCGATGGTATTGATAATGGCGATGTTGAGAGTGACGATCATAATGTTGATGGCAGTGGTAATTATGATGATGATGATAATAGTGATGTTGAGGATGAGGCTTGGTGCCCGGTTGACATCATTCCGTGCCTGCTCCGCGCCAGGCTTTGGATTCTAAAATTTTAAAACTCTCTCCGTCTGGTGATGGAGGCATTGCTCGCTTCCCCCACGACCCCTCCCCCCCCACAGACCCTCACCTTTCGGGACCCCCCCCCCCCCAAAGTTCACCCTAAACTCCGGGCATCTCATATGACGCCCTATGAAGCAAATGCCAATGATTCACCCAGTGAAAATGTTGATTTCATACAAATATGAGCACAGGGTTTACCGCCGCTGACTCCAGCCAGCGGAGCTGCCATCTAGCCCCATCCATTGCAGGCCCACGCCTATAGCGCCTCTGGTATTGCCAGGCCGTCTACCATTCAAGCGCCAAGCGGACTGAACCCCCGCTCAGCCTGACGAGCTCCTCAGGTCACAGGCGATCGATAGGATTCCACGGGGGCATGCGGAGCGGTAGCGCAGCAGTTGGTGCACTGCACCGTGTGAGCCAGGCGGGGCTGAGTTCGCGTTCACCACGGCTCACATCAGTGGCGAGGGATCTCAGAAATCGGTGCTTTGCCAACTCGCACTGCCCAGAGTGGTGAAGTACGTCGCTTCACAAAATCCACATGGCCGACTATGGTATGGGGCCGCCTTTAATCCATTGGTGGATTTAAAGTGGCTGGGATGGTTACAATGACCAGGCGGTGAAGTGGGACCAGGGCCCTCTGGGTGGTGGTGGGGGTTCTGGCAGAGGGAGGGGGTGGGCGGTGGGCTTGGGTCTGAGGGGGGCGGTGGGGGGTTTGGGGGCCGTCCCCCCTCCCCCACTGTTCGGTCCGCCCCACATTTCAGTGTCACTTTTTCGAGGCCACGTGGCTCTTTTTAATTGATAATTAGCGCTATTTATTTATTTATTTGTGTCTGACTTTGCATGATGATGATGCTGATGCTGCTGCGTCAGCGATTTGCACTATGAGTTGCGTCCGGTGTATGTTATTTTGAGGGTGGTGTTGGGGGGGAGTTGGTCAAGGAGAGGGGGATGGAGCGGGGGGCTATCAGCCCCGCTCCTCAACCCCCCCCCCCACCCCCTCTTTGTTTTCGTGCCCACGTCGCGGCGTCACGTGACCCCTGCTCGTTCTGATTGCGATGGTGTGAGAGGAAGGCGACTGCTCTGCTGATGCTGATGTATCCGTGGTTGGTCACTGCAGACAATAAAATTCGCTATCGCCGCGCGAGCGACAGCTCCCACCGCCCCCGTGACCGGCGTGAGTCGTGGTGCCGCCGGGGACCCTCCCGCTAGGTCGGCTTCGACGCAAACGAATCGGCGCTCACAAACACTGCCTGTTGTCGCTGGGGTGGGGTTGGGGTCTCAAGCCCGCCACGTGACTCGTGTCCACGACTGTAGGGGCTTGTGGGGGGGGGGGCACTGGAATAGGGGGGTGTGGGGGTTGGAGGCACTGCGTGGTGAAGGGGATACTGAGGTGGGGGTCTTGTGAAGAGTGGGGGCGAGGTGGGTCGAGGTGAGACCCCTGATAGCACACGTGTTCGACGAAGAGAGAAGCCCCTCCCCAGTGCGCACCCCTCCCCTCTCCTCCCTCCTCTCCTACCCCTCCCCCCTACTCCCCCTCCCCTCTCTCCTCCCCCCTACTCCCCCTCCCCTCCTCCCTTTCTCCGCCCCCGCACATCGGTAGAATGTTAATGTACGATTGTTTATGTCCGATGAAGAAGGGCCGTTGCCCGAAACGTTGCCCATTTTATATATACAGTATATTGTTTTCCTTTTTAAGGCCACACAGCAGGGCTGTGATGGTCGAACGTGTTGAGTTTGACCTATTAACATGAGAATGGCGCCAGTGCCAAACGAGGTGGTGTGTAGGGGGCGGGCTGGGGGAGGGGCGGGGCTGGGAGAGGGGGGCGGGGCGCCTACACGCGAGTACACGCCTCGTGATCACAATAGCATCATCGCCACTACTGTCACAATCACTGCCATCACCATGGTCACAATCGGCATCACTCACCACAACCGTGTAGGCACCACATTCAGTAATATCACCAACACCATCATCACCACACTGCCCCGCCCCCGATCCTGATTTGTCTGGATCTCCTCCGCGTTCTCCGATTTCCTCCCATTGCTAAAAAAAACCGCAAACACTTAACTGCTATTGACCAAAACATCCCATTGCTGGTACAACTCTCTGTAAATCACTCGGTCTGGATCACATGCAGCAGCAGCAGCAGCAACGTGGCATCCGACTACGAAAACTTGGCAAGACCCTCCTGGAGAAGAGTCCTGAGTAGTCGGCGAGGCTTTCCTGGTGAGCGGGAAAGGACAAAGGGGTTCCGGGACGGAAGTCCTCCAAGAGAGACGCACAGGGCACGGCTCAAGATGAGCGGCGTGAAGGAAGGAGGAGGGGGGGGGAAGGAATGGCCTGGCCAAGATGTCGAAGATGAGAGGGGAGGGAAGAGAGAAGGAATGAGCGAGCAGAAGTGAGCTGCACGGAGCAGCGGCTGTTTTCACAGGGGGCGGGGATCGGGGAGGGATTCAGAGTGGGGGTGGCTACACACAGACACGTGGTTTACGCGAAGCGTCGGCTGATGTAGATTACCGTCGTCGTCACAATTGTCATCACCATCACCACCATCCATCATTCATATCATCCTTATCACACCACCACCATCATCAGGTTGCAGTTGATGTTGATATAACTGGGTTTGTTTTACAATTAACGATCGCCTAATTTATCACATTTATAACCAGTCTATTTGCTAATTAACCCATTAGCTCATTATCACATCCTTAATATCATAACATCATCAATCGCCTCATTGCTCACATCATCAGCTATACCTGGTTAACAGTTACCTAATTAATCACAATAACCCCCGGCACGTGAAGCATCACATGGCAACGCAATCACATTCATTGATTTATGATAACGGCGTCATCGATCGCGTCATTACAATCATGCACCTCGTTAATTATCGTGCCTGCGGTGACGTCACTGGCGCTCATCGTGATCGCAAAAAGAGTCGCGCCTCGTCTCGGCCCGAGTGACCGCGCTCCAGTGACGTCACGGAAGGCCATAGCCTCGAGCAAAGCACCGGAGCTGGAACAGATCAGCAAAGACTCCAGTCCAGTGTTTGTTTTAGTCCAGCTGGAGTCAAATCCAGATACTCCTAGTCCAGATAAAGTCGAGTCC